ATCCATTAATCCGTTTACTTGAAAAGAAAAGTTTTCGTGATAGGGAGGGTCAAATCATTGCTGCATGGTCAAACTGGATCATAGGAATCTAACAACTACAAAACATACTTTTTAATACATATATTTTTCTTCAAATTGGGACTGAAAGGAGGTTCAGACCAGTCTCATTTCCTTGGAAAGGCATTTTTCTTATCATTTAAGATCTTCTGATCCAGATTGAAGCAAGTGACAAAAATAACACGTAATCTACTTTCCACACACACTTCACGATACTCGATTACTTTTTCTCTATCTAAAAGAGGATCTTGAGATTCTAGCCCCTGTTTGATCCCCATTATATTTAAAATATATTTTTCTCTCTCTTCTTTTCAATCACACATTATTCTATAAAATAATATTACACGCAAACATGAAATGTTTTCTTATTTTTTAACCAAACATTTCATCAATCTACTAGTTCAAAATGCATTCTTAAGAAATAATAGGGCTCAAGCATGTCCTAGGTTTCTTCCATCTACATATTTTTGATCTTTATTCAAGGTCACTTTTCTTGATAGCTGATTTGTAGAGCATTTTTGGTGATTGTGTAAGTAGGTTCATGTTGGCAATTTGTTCTTAATAAAATGATTTGACAAAAAACATAAGAATAATGCACACATATAACACTGAATAGCATATAATTATTCACCTAGTTCAGCAAAATTTTCTAATTTGGGGGCATAGAAGTTACCCCATTCCACTATATGCAGACAACCGCCTTATAAAGAGAGCAAGAGTAAATCAACCAAATTAATGTTAGACTAAATAAATGTGGATGAATATTGGATTAATGAATATTGAATGGACATGCATCGAATTTGCAACCAACAGTAATACAGGATGGAAACGTACCGGCTATGCAACTTACTGGATTGACACGTACCATCTATGCAACTATTGGTTGAAAAGTTGACTATCAAAATGTTAGCCAAAATAATGCAGATTAAATAATTTTACTAATATTAGCAGAACAAGTAACCTAAATAGCAAAAAAAATCAAATGAACTTTGAAACCATGGCCTATGTAAACACAGTTTTCTAAAAATAGATTTGCCCCCTTACTCTACATGCTTGAGATTTAGTTTGAGCTTCTTTTCCAGAATACAATGAAAAATCAGTAAAATCTGAGCACTGCAGAAACTACTCCAGTGAACATGGATGTCATGTCAATTTAGTCTCAACATAAGTTTTGCACTTATGTTTGGCATCAATATGGAACGTGAATATGCAATTCAAGCTAACTAGTCTACGTAAATTATCATAATTCACATGTCCTAGTCTACCATGCCACAAATTGGAAGACTCAGGCAAATAAGTAAAAGAGTTTCATTTTTGGCTTAATAACCATTACATTCAGTTTAAGCATACCATCGAAAAATATTACCTTTTTCGAGAAACATTCCATTTTTTGACAAAATAAATTTATCTGACTTAAATAGAATACAAAAATCATGCTTATTCAAAAGCAACCCAGACACTAAATTCTTGCAAATTTTCGACACATACAGCATATTGTTAATAGTCAACTCCTTTTCCGAAGTCATGTTCAGGACCACCTTTCCTTTACCCTTGATTTCAGAAATTGCTGAATTTCCTCGGAACAACTTCTCTACGTTCTATTTTGAACTCAAGAAACAACTCTTTATCAGAACACACATGCAGTTAGCACCAATGTCAAGCTACTACTCTTTTAGGTTTGAACCCGTCATATTCATTTCAGAAACAGCAACGAGATTCAACTCTGACACATCATATGCTATACTTATAAACCACATTTACTTCTTTTTTATTCTTTGACAATCTGCACTCCGAAGACTTGCGACCCATTCTGTCACAATTGCAACATTTTTCTTAATTTTTTTTTTAGAATTTCCACCTTTAGGTCCTTGATTGGTCCCTGTGCTACAAGATGGTCTAGGCTTGTTTTTGTAGGTCTTATTACTATGACTATGCTTCACAAGATTTGCTTTAGCAGCACTAGGATTAAGCCACTTCCTTTCTGAGCTCTTGTTATCTTCTTCAATTTGAAGTCCAGCAATAAGTTCTTTGACGTTCATTTTATTTCGTTTGTGCATAAGATAATTCTTGAAATCTTCCCATTCTGGAGGGGAGGGATAATTTTTCAATAATTGTAGCCACTTGGAAAGTTTCTCTCAAATTCATCCCTTTAGCATGAATCTCATGAAGAACCACTTAAAGTTCTTGTACTTGACTGAATATTGTTTTAGAGTCCACCATTTCATAATCCAAGAATCGACGAACAATGAATTTCTTGGTGCTAGCATCCTCAATCTTATATTTTCGATCTAATGACTTCCACAACTTCTTAGCAGTTTTCATAGTGCTATACACATTGTATAATGAGTTTGCTAAGCTCATGATGTAGTTTCGGCACAAAAAATCCGAATGGTTCCAGGCATCACCTCACTAATTGCTTGAAAATCTCCCTCATCCTATCTGAGTTTTGGTGTAGTTTCAATCAAAAAAGGAAAGGACATTGAATTTCTTCAATTTTCTCCATGATTAACCGGAATAGTAACTGAGTGGCCAGTTGTTGAAGCCATAATTTAACTCACAATATGACTTGGTAATTTAGCCACAGTCTGAGCCACAATAGAACTTGGCCGTTGAGTCACAATAGAGTCCACAACTTGATTTTCAATAACCACAGTTTGAGCCATATCCATGTCGGTTGCCATTTTTGAAAGTAAAACAAATATTAGTTCTCAATAAAGTTGAAATGAATTTGTCTGTTATGATTCTATTTTAAGTTCATTAGATTAAATATTTGTAAATAAATATCATATTAACAAATATCAGATAGACATATACCAGATTTGCAACTAAAAGTAATACCAAATGGACACGTACCGATTATAAAACTTACCAGATTGACACATATTGGACATCCAACTTATCTGATTGACACATACTGTTATCAAATTGATACATATTGAATATACAATCATCAAATTGACTCATACCGTATATGCAACCACTGGTTGTACAGCTGACCAATTGAGCATTAGCAAAAATAATGTAGATTAAATAATATTATTAATTACAATAAAAAGCAAAGCAAGTAATCTAAATTGCAGAAAAAATAAATGAACTTTGAAATCGAGGCTTGTGTGAACACAGTTTCATAAAAACAGATTTACCCTCTCACCTTACGTGTTTCAGATTTAGTTCAAGACTGTTTCCCATAATACAAAGAAAAATCAGTAGAACCCAAGCACTACAGAAACTATTCCAGTGAACTGACTTAGTATCTGAACAATATCACCAAAACTGAAAAGCAATATGCTAAGTATTTAGTATGTAGACCAAAAGAAACTATGTTGCTTCTTGTATGGAATAATGGGAAAATGGGTTCTCATATATAGACTTGACCCCCATGAATGGTGAGGTAATTCTGTCCATAAGCATGCCATGAACTTAAATTATAATGACACTAACTATTGGAGTTTCAATAGTTTTGCAATTTAAAATGTCCGTTGGAGGAAAAAATTTGGTAAAATGTAGGCCATCCTAAGGGGCCAATTTTGGTTCGACATTCGTGGCGCAGGTTGTGCCACATGCAAATTCAAGGTACGAAGCCTATTTCGATCCATGATTTGCACTCACTATACACGTATGCGAAGAGAGCTTCTATGCTATACATGATCACACCCGTCTAAAGTGCAATCCTATATAAAGTAGTATTTACCTTCATTATTTTCCTCTGTGGGACAAACATTAATTGGTTTTCCTCCAACACTTAAACTCCTTTCAATTGACATACTTTGAACTCCAATTTCTGATTCCTCGAGCATCATTTTTTGCAAATAAATATATGATTTCGATATTCTCACAAAGGAAAACACAAATCAATCTTGATTTTCCAAAATAACCAATCGGGTACCACTATAATTTTATGCCAAATTAGCCACTCAACTCATTTTTCCAACAATTACAACCAATTTTAGTCCTAGATCCAAAAGGATTTCCTAAAACTCGACTCAATGAACAATCCATTTGATAAAAAGCTCTAGTACAAAGCCACACAACACCGCCAATATTTCATGCCACGAGATTGCTGCATTAGGAAGATTTTACAGGTTTATCACTAATCTCTCATTCTAGAAAGATCACAAGAAACTAGATAAGAAGAAGTCGAATCAGACTAGAGAGAAAAATTCTAGACACTCAAAAGCCTTAAAATCTTCAAACATGATAAAACGTTCACAAAACCAAAGTCATACTTGATAAAGATTAATCTAAGCCATTGATCATATCGAACAATCTAGGGGCCACTTAAACAATCACAATCCATATGTTAGACAAGCTATCAATTGGATGTTGCACTACAACTAAAATGGCCTTTTGCAACGTTTAAAAAAATGTTGTCGGAGAAATTTTGTATGTTGCAAACCTCGATGTTGTCGTATGTTAGAAGGATATGATAGCCTTTTAAAATGTTGTGAATAACCTTTTTGTGGTGTTTTTTGAATGTTGCAAATAACCTTTTTGCAACGTTCAAAAAACATTGCAAATAACTTTATGCAGCATTTTTTGAGTATTGCGAATAATCTTTTTGCAGCATTTTTTAAACGTTGCTAATGGCATTTTTTTCAACATTTTTTTTTATGTTTTTCAGATCTTGCTAATAACCTTTGCACAATGTTTTTTAAATGTTGTTTATGCTTATATCCTTATTTTTGCAACATTTTTTGACCATTGCCGTAGGTCATTTTATACTTTTTTTTTATTTTGCATTTTTTTTCTTTGTATAGTGATTTATACAAATCAACCACAAAATTAAAAAGTTTTTTGGGCTTGTATGAAATCGATATAATTTCATTAATCAATACAAAATAAATATAAAACACATCGCTGCAATAAATTGAAGAAAAATTTTGATTTACGTATTGCCTATTAAACAAACAAATAAACATAACAAACAAAATAATGGCACAATATCAAACCATAAAAAGAGTATTAAATCAATAGAAAGTCAACTTTCACAAAACTCCTAACTTCATTTACAACTCCTACGTTTGTTTACATTGTAATTATGGCCACCTTACACGTTTCTGTGTCAGTATTGCATTTCGCAACCTTCCTCTGGTGTTGAGATGCCAATCTTTTAGCCTACAAGATTAGACATACCGCAATGCAATGAAGACTTGGTGAGTACTAAAGTAGTGAAAAATTACTCATCGGCTTTAAGTGAACACAAACTCAAAAATTGGAACAGATTTTTAATCGAAAAAGTTCACCTGCTCAATGTCCCTCTCGACAGACCCACCATCTTGACTGAAATCAGAATTGCTCATCCTAGTTTCGTGCAAACGAATTCCCACTCCCATTACAACTTATTCGAATAAGCCCTAAATCAACAACAATTGCAGCACTAGTTATTTTAAGACCTAAATCAACAACTTATTTGGCAAGAGAGAGAGAAATAGCAGATTACCAGTATATGATGCCGGCACCATTACTTTTTGTTTTTTGATTGGACCATGGGATACCTTCCTTTCGGTAAAAGCACAAACACAGGATCACCTCTTACGATGTTGGGAAAAATAATTATCTTCATTGAGCACTGACAGTATTTATACACTGGTAAAAGCTGCAACTATTTTATAGGTTCGGGACGTCGCTGTAACTATCCCTTTGTTTCTTGCAATTTATATTCTACCCCCCATCAGTCAACATAGACAATACCATCCAATGACCGAAAATCAATAGCCTTCATTGAAGTTTTAACATCATAATTCCAAGTTAGAGATAAGTGCAATCTCTTCACTGCCTTCACTAAGAGCCCACACATAAAAGATGCATTGACTCTACTTGAGAATTCCAGAAAAATAAGTACAAAAACTTTAAAATGTAGTAACTAACTAAAGTATCCTAAACTAAAGTGTTTATCACTAGATGTAACAGCTTCCAACGTTCAATTTTCATAAGAAATTCACTCGCATCTGAAGAAAATAATGTATATACTGTATTCCCATATTACTGCAAATATTTCCATAACAGGTAGCAAATTTCTTCTTCTGCCTGATTGGATTTCAATAACAGAACTGAAGTCAGCTTTAATTCAGTCAGTGCCCACTCAAATGCCTTGCCATCCTGAAGCTAAAGTAGGTCTTATCATGGTTTTTATCAAATCATAGAAAGTCGTTCTCAGCACAAGCCAAGACAAATTACTAGTAATCATTTGCGAAGCACACTTTATATACAGCAGGGCATAGATCAGAAAATCAACATGAAAAGCTTAAATAAGTCATCAAACTGCACGAAAAACTCGTTCTGCAGATAGAAGAAACAGGTAAATATTAACAAAATAGAAGCAAAAAGACATAAATTACATTTGTTTCAGGAAGATAAGAATACTTGCTTATAAGTGACACAGATATTATCTTGTTTACATAGGAGATCATAAAAGTACTGCAACTGACCAGCTACATCTATTGAGTGAACCCAAAAATCTACCCCAACATAGACTAGCATATAACTGATCTCACACTGAAACGCTATCAAGTTCAGATTGCCATACTCTGAAATCACAACTATTAATTGTCATTAACTATATTAATAATGTCTAACATATGTAATTTTTCTGCAAATCTGAGATTTTAGCTTCCAGGTTATGAGATTCTGGCTGGTTACCTTTGGAGTTCCACAACACTGAAAGCTGAATTAAAATCCATGAAATCCAATACAATAACAATTGGATAGATATTCAATTTAAATGCATTAGCCAATATCAGGAAAATATAGTTACCACCGTAAGTAAAGAGGAAACTTGGCATGGCATCCATGGTAAGGTTTAGTTCAATCTGAGCAACTCCATAGACGTTGTCATCTATTGTACTCAAACTATGTTGGAATTGGTTCAAAAATAACCGAAAATTGGTTAAGTGTAAAATTGGAAAAATAAAAATGTGTGACTTTGTGTCAACTTCGGCCAAATATTCGGATTTGATCCAATTTTCAAATTACAAAAATAAATAGACCAACTTATTCTACTCATCGAGTAGATTGTTGTGGTATATTTGGAATCTTGAAACCAATTCTGGATGAATGAAAAACTGCGGCCCAAAATTGAAAGAATGAAGTGTTCCAGCTTTTCAAAAAAACGCAGGTTTGATATAAAGTGTTACAACTTTTCATAAAAAATGCTGAATTTGGGGTGTGTCCCTTCATCCACATCCTTTCAACTTCTATATATAGGATCCTTTGGGCGTTCATTTGAAATTCCATATCATTCATTTTATGTCAGGTTGCATCAAATACTTTGTAGAAGTCTACATTTATTGCATCCAAATCATGGTTATGATATAGAGGGAATTTCGTTCGAATTCGTTGGTCAAAGTCATTTGAAGTGCTACTATGACTTGACGTGATCATTGTATCTTGGAAGATGATAGTCAGAAAATCGTTAGTACTAATGCGAGGCAAAGTCATCTAGAGGAAAGAGTGTCAAACATTTGCCTCGGCCAATTGCATCACTTGCATATATTTTTCCTTATTTCTAATTTCTTTCATCATATTTGATTTCAGAAATTAACTAATATTCTTTGATTTCATGTAAGGTTGAAATTCAAGAATAGAAATGGATGAATCCATATTCATGTGTTCAGAATCAGATTTGGTAATTATTATTTATCTTCTCAAATCTAGGTTCATTAAGTTGAACTTTGATTCGAATTCGTGAATGTATAAGGTACGTTTTATGAATATAATATGCACAATATCAGTGTAATTATCCCCAACAAACAATGTATTACAGCTTAAAATATTGAGCTTTAACTCGTAAAAGATTTCAGAAATCCTTTTCCTTCTAAATGTTAGGAATACTATAAGTATAAACATTTCTTCAAAATTTCTAAACACCCTACTGCCATGGGAATATTAGAGTAAGGGCAATGGAGGTAGAGAAATTAAACTGCGTGTTGCTCTAAAGTTAATAGTATCAGATGAATCTATGCTTAAGCAGGGAGGAAATCAAAGAAAGAAAAGCTAGCTTGTTATACAAAAACAGTAATAAGTAATCCCGAATCATAATTTCTTACAACTTTTTCAGATCATCAATCTTCCATGAAAACTCTCGACAAAATATTCAATAAAACGATACTCACTAATATTCTTGGAACATAATCACACTTCTCAAATGGAAGAGACTCACAAGCACTTTTGATTTCCTCTCGCAATGTCACTTGAATGTCTTGTCATAGAATACGAAACCAATAAAACGAAACATGTCAATTCAAGTTAAACCCAAACCTGAACAAAATAAGAACCCTAAACCTTTTTCCAAACCCCTCCTCCCCAAAAAAAAAAAGGGAAAAAAAATGAAAAAAAAGTGTAATTCATCAATTCAAGAAAATTTAGGACCTTGATTAATGATAAAAGGAAAAGAATCAGAGGCTTACGTTGCTTCAATTTCAATAAAAAAAAATGAGAGAGAGAAGGCATTTACTTGGGCCAAGATTAGACACCAAGCCAAGAGAGCTTGGATTTAAGGAGGTAATTGATAACTTTGATACCCGATTTCTCCATTATTATGCTCTCGCATTCGGAGAGAGGAAGTGATAAAAGTGGTGAGAAGCGGAGACGAGGGAAGAAAGAAAATTTAGGGCTAATATCTAATTAATTTGATTTTGAGGAGTTTCTCTTTCCATTTGGAAAGGATCATTTTAACAACGTTTGACACACGTCGCAAAAGTAAAAGTACAAACTTTTTGCAACTTTTAAATGAGACTTGTGTAATGTTCAGAAAACGCTGCAAAAGTAAGACTTTTTCGCAATATTTGAAAAAGGCTGTAAAAAGTTATATATTAATAGTTTTAGCAATATGCGTTGAACATTGCAATAGAATTATATTTTAATAATGGTCAACAAAAGTCGCAAAAAAAAAAAAAAAATAAATAAAATTCGCGACATTCAAAAAACGTTGTGAAAAGTAATATTAGCAATATTTATTTAAAAAATATTGTCAAAACTCAATTACATTAACTAATTGCAACATTCACTTATTAGAATATTGTAATAGACCCCCTTTAGCAACATTTAATTAATGAATGTTGTCTTTTAAGTGTTGTAAAAGAGCATTTTTGTTGTAGTGTTGCCACATGGGCTATCCAAGTTCAACTAGGCAGGAATGGCTATTTACTAAAATGGCCCAAGATAAGTTGCATTTGTGGAACACATTTTCTTCACTCGTCACCTTTGTTCTCAAATATAATTACTCTCTCTATTTGCAGAAGTGTACATTTATTGCTAATTCATCATCATTAACCAATTACGTGTAAAAGAATTAACCAGTATCAATATATGGAATTGATAAGCAAGATCTAAGATTACCAATTGAAAGCACTATAGTTTCCATATTTAATAAGTTTTTATCAATATATCACTTCGCCTCAATATGTTTGGACTTCTCATGATAGACAAGATTTTTTCTAAGTAGAAATGCACTCTAGCAATCAGTGAGTATAATAGGAGAATCATGCCCCAAAAAAAAAAAAAAAAAAAAAAAAAAAAAAAAAATATATATATATATATATATATATATATACACACAAAAATTAACAAAAAAATTAAAAAAATTAAAAATAAAAATCAATTAATTTAAATTGCCTTTCAACCATGTACATTCTTTCATAGCTTAGTTATTGTCATTTATCCAGCTTTAGTGTTGGATAGTGTCACAATAGATTGCACTTGAGATTTCATGTTATGCAACTATCCCCCGATGTAAAGAAACAGGTAATAGTGGATTTCTTCTAATCTTTGTCACAAGCAAAATAAAATATACATGCCCTGAAAGTGTTAGTTTATCAGACTTTTTTATAAAAAAGACCAAGATTAAATGTACCAACAAAGTATTTTAAAAGCTATTTTAAATCAGCCTAATGTGATTTTTCAGGATTGGACATAAATCTACTAAAGAACATAATAGCATAGGCTAAATCGGGTCTGGTGGTTGTTATGAAAAACAATACAGATCCATTAGCATTTTGCATGAGGGATATCACTCATTTATTTTCTTTCTTCCTCAATTTTAGGTGATTGTGCAGTGGACAGATTCATATGCGTAGCAATGGGACATAAACATATTAAGCTTGCTTCATCCAAATTATTACTCTATCCAAATAGGTTGTTCATGTAACAGTTAACCTATTTTGTGACCTATTTCTATTAATAACCATATCTAAACTCTTTTTGGCATTATCTAATTCTTCCATGTCAAAATCAGTTTTAAAATTTTAAAATATTCTAAATTCTTGTGATATCCTCTTTACTTGAGCTTGCCAGTAAAGAGATAAAGATCACAACTAAGTTTATTAATGTTATTGTACAGACAGACATCATATTACTTCTTTAAATATCAATTTTTAAGGACATATGAATTGAGTATCTTATATCTCCTAAATATCAGTTTTATCTAGTTTGCATACAAAGTCAATTTTTTTTTGCTTCACCTTAAAAACTTGATGTTGAATCATATAGATTTTTTCCTCTAATTCACCATGGAAAAAAAAAATAGTTTTAACATCTAATTGTTCAAGTTTCCAATAGAACTGAACAACAAGAGCTAAAATTAGTTTGATTGTCATTTATTTTATCAAAAGGGAAAATATCTCATTATAGTCAATACCTTCCCTTTGAGTAAAGCCCTTAACGACTAGCTTGACTTTATATCCTAAAGAATCGAAGGACTGTTACCTTCTTTCAATTTGTAAATCCATTTACTTAGCACTATCATTTGACTAATTTCCAAGTTTTATTTTGAATTAAGGATTACATTTTTTCGTCCATTGCTCTTTTCCATTTTACAAGTGGCCGAATAATTGCTTCTTCAAAAGAAGAAGGTTCCGAATATTCAATGGCTTCACCTGAAATTAGGGCAAAATCAATTAAGTTCTAGGACTCGTACCTAGGATTTGGCCTAACTTGTGTCCTTTCTCTATCTAACAAGTTGATAATCTTGGATAGAAGTATCTTCAGTGGTAGGGATGTCATTGTCAATTCCACTTTCTTCATGAGGTTAATTTACCTTATCAACTACAGGTTCAATTTCATGTTCTCGTGTTAGAGAAATGATAGGTTCATTGTTCTCATCTCGAGTAAGTTATACATAGTCAATTTCACCTCAATTTGAGTTCTATTTATAGTTTCAGATTCTCCTAATCTATTATCTTTATGTTTTAGACATGGTATCTCAGATTCATTAAATAGAACATCTCTACTATTAATGATTTTTTGGCCTATACCCCTAAAAGCGATAGCATGTAGCCTTTGACCCCTTTAAGATAGCCTAAGATAACACATTTAGTTGCTCCAGTTTCCAACTTGCTCTTAGTCTGATGTACATTCTGCACACCCAAAGATTCTAATATGCGCTAACGTTGGTGGCTTTCCACTCCACATTTCTTGAGGGGTTTAAGATCAAGTAAATGTAGTGCATACATCCTCAGCCCATAAAAATTTAGCGAGTCCAAAACTGATTAACATACATCTTACTTTGTTCATCAAGTTCCGGTTCATTCTTTCTTCAAATCCATTCCATTGGGATGTGTACTTGACTATTTTGTGCCAAATTATTCCTATTTACAAAAGTTATCAAATTCAAAGTTACAAAACTCAAGACCGTTATCTATTCTTAAACAACTATTCTATGACTGATTTTCAACTCTCTTAAGCTAAGTCTTCATTTTTTTTAAAGGTTTCGAATTTAGCCTTCAAAGGATAAACACACACCTTTTTGAAATAATCATCCACAAGACACAGAAAATATCTATTCCCAGTAAAGATGGGATGCTTCTCTGGGCCCTACAAATCTGAATGGAGATTGTGTATTGGTCTTTTATGTGAACCTGTCGTAAAACTTTTACTGTGAGATTTTTTTCAACACATTAGTTCCAAAAAAATTCAATGGTTCAATCAAATCTTTCACAAGTAGTTTCTGATTACTTAAAGCCCTTATTTCCAACGTGCCCCATTCTATTATGCCAAAGACTAGATTTATTTTCAATTACAATATAAACAAACTAATATCTTATGAAGTAACAACATCACTTACAAGATAGTACAGTCCATTTCCCTTAGGGCCTTTCATAATAACTAAGGATCCTTTCACAATCTTTAATGTGTTATTGTCATGTTTTAAGACATGTCCTTCATCTTCAAGAATCCTCAGTGGGATGAGGTTTCTTTTCAGACATTCCTTATTGTCATGACAATGTCATCATGCATTTTGATGGTGATGTCACCAACACCAACTACTGTAGGTGAATTATTATCTACCACACACTACTTTCTACATTCTATTTCTTTATAACTGTAAAACCAGGACCTAACAAGATACATATGGAAGGTACACCCTGAATCTAATATCTAGTCTTTGTTAATTTCCTCACTAGACACAATCATCAATTGCAGACTTTTTAATTCTGGGATAACATCAGCATTATTTAAATCTAAATTGTTATGTTCTTTTTGTTTCTTTTTCCATTCATAGCGATCTATTTTAAAGTGTCTTAATGTACAACCATAGCACTTTTTTATTGCATTTATCTTTGGATTTGGGTCTCTCCTTAGACTTTCCTTTTCCCTTTTGCTTTGAAAGTTATTATCCATTTCTCACATTTTACTCTTACAAAGATGCTCTTTTCTCTAGAGTTAGCTTTCGATTCTTTCCTAACATCTAACTCCTTTGATCTCAAGGCATCTATCACAATAGCTTGTGTTTATTTGTCTGGAGCACCTTTTTTTTTTTTTTTTTTTTTTTTTTTTTTTTTTTTAAAAAAAAAAGAAAAAAAAAAAAAAAAAAAAAAAAAAAAAAAAAAAAAAAAAAAAAAAAAAAAAAATTTTTTTTTTTTTTTTTTTCTTTCCTAACATCTAACTCCTTTGATCTCAAGGCATCTATCACAATAGCTTGTGTTTATTTGTCTGGAGCACCTTTTTTTTTTTTTTTTTTTTTTTTTTGCATTTCTCATAAAATAACAGCGATGTCTTCATCATCAAATTTTTTTCTCATTTTGTGCTAAACTTTTCACAATGATACTAAAGTCACTTAGATTTACTTCTATGTCATTCCTTATATTCCATCCTAAAACTAAACAAATTTTCAAAGAGATAAATACTATTTCGTAAAGTCATAGCTCGGAATAAAAGAATGAAGTGCAATTCACAAAGCCCTAGCAGCTTTGTGTTCATCTACTTTTCTAACAATTTGATCAGACAAATATAGTATTATAGAACCATATGCAATCTCATTCGTTTCTTTAATTCAGTTGGCTTTTGTTCTACATTCATCAGAAAATGTAATCTCACTCATTTTTTGCTTCCAAATTGAATAATCTCCATTTTCATTGAATTACCACAATTTTACCCTCGAACCCATGTCGGACTCTCTAAAAGGGTGGATTGAATTTGAAAATTTTTAGGAATCTTATTCTCAAATTTCAAATGCATATAACATATAAAAGGTTTCGAAAAACAATTTTCTTTAAACGAGTTTTCAATTTAAAGAAAGGAGTACCACACACTAAAAATTGAAGAAAGTGTATTATTGAAATGATTTTTCAATCACGATATGAGAATTATATAAATAGACATACAGAAAATAAAAATGGATGTAATATTTCAAAAAATATGTATATACTAAGAGA